GGAATTCAGGCTGTCAGAGCACCATCAGACAGCAGTATTGGCGGCAACCCCAGCCGCGCGGGATTAACGCGGTGAAACAAAGGAGCGGAGGGGAAATGCACGCCAGGCACGGTAGGCACCCCGGCGCGGCAGCTAGCCGCTGCAGCATTAGGATGCAGGAGGGAAGGAAAGGCAGCGCACGCCAAACACACGGTGTGAGAGGAAAAGGGGGGAAACGTAAAACATGTACTCGGGCAGTTGTTGCTGACTATGCCAGTCGTGGCTGTGCAATTTCCGCTTGCGCTGACTATGCCAACCATGACTGTGCCAACCCTGGCTATGCCAACCCTGACTGTGCCAACTAAGCTCCTCCCCAGCAGAGGGCCCCCCCTTTCCTCCTGCGACTCGCGACTATCTTCGCACTCTTCCCAGTGGAGGCGACAGACCGACGCAGAGTCTGTTTGGAATCCGAGGCGTCTGGGTGTTCCCAGGGGTCGTGTCGCCAGTGGGTTGTGTTGCACGGTCAGCAAGGTCCTCCCTGTCTTCTCCCTGCCCCTACTCCTGCGACTCGCGACCCATTTCGCACTTTTCCCGGTGTAGGTGACTAACCATCGCAGAATCCCTTGGATTCCGAGGCAGCTGGGTATTCCCAGGGGTCGCGTCGCCATCGGTTTGTGTTGGACTCTCAGCAAGGTTCTCTGTGTCTTCTCCCTGCCCCACACCCTGCGACTCGCGGCTCTCTTCGCGCCCCCCCCGGTGGAAGCGACTGACCGTCGCAGAGTCTGTTTGGAATCCGAGGCGTCTGGGTGTTCCCAGGGGTCGTGTTGACAATGGGTTGTGTTGGACGGTCGGCAAGGTCCTCTCTGTCTTGTCCGTGCCCCTTCTCATGCGGCTCGCGACCCATTTCGCACCTTTCCCGGTGTAGGTGAACGACCATCGCAGAGTCTGTTGGAATCCGAGGCAGCTGGGTATCCCCAGGGGTCGTGTCGCCAGCGGTTTGTGTTGGACTGTCAGCAAAGTTCTCTCTGTCTTCTCCCTGCCCCTCACCCTGCGACTCGCGACTATCTTCGCACACTTCCCGGTGGAACCGACTGACCGTCGCAGAGTCTGTTGGAATCCGAGGCGGCAGGGTGTTCCCAGAGGTCGTGTTGCCAGTGGGTTGCGTTGGGCGGTCGGCAAGGTCCCCTCTGTCTTCTCCGCGCCCCTTCTCCTGCGACTCGCGACCCATTCTCGCGCTTTTCCCGGCGTAGGTGAACGCCCATCGCAAAGTCAGTCTGTTGCAATCCGAGGCGGCTGGGTGTTTCCAGGGGTCGTGTTGCCATCGGGTTGTGTTGGGCGATCGGCGAAGTCCTCTCTGTCTTCTCCCGGCCCTTCGCCCTGCGACTCGCGACGATCATCGCATTCTTCCCGGCGGCGGCGACTGACCGTCGCAGAATCCGTTGGAATCCGAAGCGGTTGGGTGTGCCCAGAGGTCGCGTTGCCAGTGGGTTGCGTTGGGCGGTCGGCAAGGTCCTCCCTGTCTTTTTCCTGTTCCGCCCCCTGTGATTCGCGACTATTTTTTCGCGCTCTTCCCGGTGGAGGCGGCCCGTCCGTGTCGCAGTCTTCCCGGCGCGGGCGACTAACCGTCGCATCTCGAGGAAGCACGGGCAGGGGGGGGCGCAGGAGGGGAGGGTGGGGAATGCACGCAAAGCACAAGAGAGGAGGGGGAAGAGCTAACCATAACCCTGTGTGCACTGACACGCGCGCCAGGCGCTCTGATTCTGGCAGGGCGCTGACAGCGCGCAGACGCGGGGGTGGAGGCAGACGGCCGCGCCTCCGACGTCAAGGGCCCGACCTCGCACGAGAACGCTCCCACCCCGCAGCGAACGGCCCGTGTCGGCGCCCGCGAGATCCCGACCATCTCGCAAGGGTGCCTGGCGTCCCGCGTTCGCGCCGACGTGGTGTCCCAGATGTTGTCCACGTAGTTGAGCCCGGTCGCGCGGGGGCCCACCCGCTTCCCGTCCGACGGGCGATCGGCGAACAGCCTGGGCATCCACCCGCTTCCCGTCCGACGCGTCGAAGATGCCCCCCCGTTGGACTGCCGGCCCGTCTCGGCGGTCGAGCTCACGTCCCCGCCCGGAGAGGGGGGGGTCTGGCGAGCTTTGCAGGGGCGCAGTTGCCCCGGGGCTGCTAGTCGAGGCGACCGTCCGCATCGAGTCGCTGGCGGGGGTGGGAGGACGAGTGGGGGCGTAAGGGCTCCTCGAAACCAGCTGAAAGATGGCTTCGTTGTCCCGCTCGTCAAGAGAAAATTTACGTGTGGGCGCAGTGGAACTTCCCAGTGCCGTCTGGAGGGTGGCTTCACTGTCGGGCAGGCCGTCGGGTTGGCCGAAGAGCTGGCCGTGGGATTGTGCGTCGGGCAAAGCCTCATGTAGAGTGTTGGGTAGGGCGTCAGGTTGGGCGTCGGGAGCGGCGCCCCCCTCCTGCGACTCGCGACTATCTTCACACTCTTCCAAGGGGCGGCGACTGAACGTCGCAAAGTCGGTTGGAATCCGAGGCGTCTGGGTGTTCCCAGGGGTCGTGTCGCCAGTGGGTTGTGTTGGGCGGTCGGCAAGGTCCTCTCTGTCTTGTCCGTGCCCCTTCTCCTGCGGCTCGCGACCCATTTCGCACTTTTCCCGGTTTAGGTGGCTAACCATCGCAAAATCCATTGGAATCCGAGGCGGCTCGGTGATCTCAGGGGTCGTGTTGCCACTGGGTTGTGTTGGACGGTCAGCAAGGTTCTCTCTGCCTTCTCCCTCCCCCTCGCCCTGCGACTCGCGACTATCTTCGCACTCTTCCCGGTGGAAGCGACTGACCGTCGCAGAGTCTGTTGGAATCCGAGGCGGCAGGGTGTTCCTAGAGGTCGTGTTGACAATGGGTTGTGCTGGTTGGTCGGCAAGGTCCTCTCTGTCTTCTCCCTGCCCCTTCTCATGTGGCTCGCGACCCATTTCGCAATCTTCCCGGTGTAGGTGAACGACCATCGCAGAGTCTGTTGGAATCCGAGGCGGCTGGGTGTTTCCAGGGGTCGTGTTGCCATCGGGTTGTGTTGGGCGATCGGCAAAATCCTCTCTGTCTTCTCCCTGCCCCTCACCCTGCGACTCGCGACTATCTTCGCGTTCTTCCCGGTGACGGCGACTGACTGTCGCAGAGGCTATTGGAATCAGAGGCGGTTGGGTGTGCCCAGAGGTCGCGTTGCCAGTGGGTTGTGTTGGACGGTCGGCAAGATCCTCCTTGACTTCTTCCTTGTCCTCCTCCTGCGATGCGCGACTATCTTCGCGCTCTTCCCGGTGGAGGCGACTCATTTCGCAATCTTCCCGGTGTAGGCGACTCGCCGTCGCATCTCGAGGAAACATGGGCAGGGGGGAGGAGAAAAGTCAGTCCCAGGGGAAACGCCCTGCGTAGGCGGGGCGCCAGCCCACCCGTCGGTGCACTGGGTCTGCGCCGTGGTCATGTCGCCGGGCAGCTTTGTTGGACAGCCGCGCAAGCCAAGCGCTTCCAGGAGATTGTCGACCGGAGGATGGCCGTCAAGCTGGCGATCGGGCTGGCCGCGGGGCTGGCCGTCGGGCTGACCGTCGGGCCGGCGGTGGGGCTGGCAGTCGGGCTGTGGGGCTGACTGCCGGGCAGGCCGCGGGGCTGGCCGTCGGGCTCGCCGCGGGGCTGGCCGTACGGCTGGCAGTCGGGCTGGCCGTGGGGCTGGCCGTCGGGCCGGCCGTGGGGTTGGCAGTGGGGCTGGCCGTGGGGTAGGCCGTGGGGTAGGCCGTGGGGCTGGCAATCGGGCTGGCCGCAGGGCTGGCCGTAGGGCTGCAGCCCAGCGCCAGGCCAGTCGGCCCGCCCGGCACCGTCACCGCAGCTGCGGCGGCGGCCGCCGCGCGGGAGAGGGCGGCCGCCGCGGCCCACAGGCCTGTGGCAGCCGCCGCGGCGGCGGCCTCGGCGGCAGCGCCCGCGGCGCCAGCGGCGCACCAGGCGCCGGCAGCGCGCGCGGCGGCGCCCGCGCGGTCCCTGGCGCACGCGGCGCCGGCGGCGCCATCGGCGCCCGCGGCGGCCGCAGCGCGCACCGCGCCAGCGGCAGCACCAGCGGCGACCGCGGCGCCAGCGGCCGCGGCCACGGCCACGGCGCTCGCGGCGCCCGCGGCGCCGGCGGCCGCGGCGGCCCGCGCGTCGGCGTCCGCGGCAGACCGCGCGCGGCCGCGGCGCCGGCAGCGGAGGGGCCGGCGGCGCGAGCGGCGGCGTCACCATCGCGCGCGGGCCCGAGCGCGCGCCGACCTGAGTCAGGGGCGGGCTCGAGCCGACATGGCTTGAGCCAAAGGGCTTGAGCCAGAGGGGGGTACGGAAGGGGTTAATTACGCGAAACGTTAAGAATTACAGTCAAGTCGCATAATAAGGATGAGCGGTAATGATGCAAAGGCCTTGGAGGGCTACGTTGCGTTCTCGGACGGGGCTGGCCAGCGAAAGTCGGCAAAGATGAACCGAAGGGGCAAGGAAGGATGCAAGGGAAGCCTTGGACAACTGTACATCTTTAATATGCAACCTGACTGTACACACTGCAAGAGGATGGAGGCGGAAACGCATGGCGGCCGCGGAGGGTGGAAGCGGGAACGGCGGCGAAACTCAAACCATGTAGGCCTTCGGGAGGCGGGCTTCGGTCCAGGCTCGAACGAGTGGTGCAAGTGGAACGTGAACCCTCGAGGGTTACGAAAGGTGCCCCAGCTTGTCGCTCCATTGTGGGGCCCCTGGGGCCCCCTGGGCCCCGTCAGGGGTGCCTTGGAGTCCGTGGGAGCCTCCTTAGAAATCCTCGGGGCAGTTTTGGCCACACCCGAGACAGAGCGCTCGAGAAAAAGTCCAGCGAGCTGAAGCACTCCGACACATGCCTCAGGCACGCAGAGGTTCCTTGGCTGGCTTTGGTCTTGGCTCAGGCGCAGCGGGGGGAAGGCAGGGGGGGTAGCGGGGAAGGGGGGAGAGAGGGGGGAGGGGGAGAGAGAGCGGGGGGGAGGGGGAGGGGGAGGGGGAGGGGAAGGGGGAGAGGGGAGGGGGGGAGAGAGAGGGGGGAGGGGGGGAGAGAGCGGGGCGCAGATGGAGGCCACGGGTCAGCTGTCGACCCACCGCTCCAACTTGCCCTGCTTGAAGACGCCCCGGAACTCCCTGCCGTTGTGGTCGGTCAGGACCCCGCTGCCGTGCTGGCAACCCTCCTCACGAGTCCCAGCGTCTGCCCCGGCCAGGCCATGGAGAGGGAGGCGAGGACGAAGATGACGCAGTGGAAGAACAGGGGAGGGTAGGAGAGGAGATGTGAGGGGGGGGTGAGAAGGAGGAGGAGAAGGAGGAGGACGGGGAGGAGGAGGAGGAGGAGGAGTAGGAGTAGGAGTAGGAGGAGGAGGAGGAGGAGGAGTAGGAGGAGAGGAGGAGGAGGAGGAGGAGGAGGAGGAGGAGGAGGAAGGAGGAGGAAGGAGGAGGAGGAGGAGGAGGAGGAGGAGGAGGAGAGGAGGAGGAGGAGGAGGACGGGGAGGAGGAGGAGGAGGAGGAGGAGGAGGAGGACCAGCAGCAGCAGCAGCAGCAGCAGCAGAAGGACGCGGAGAAGCAGCAGGAAGATGATAAGGACGAGGATGAAGAGGAGAAGCAGAGGGCAGGTGGCCGGAAGCGAGGGGAATATTCTGATAACAAGGATGGCGGGGGGATCGGAGAGGCGTGGGATCAGGAAGGAGAGGAGTAGGGGGGACGAGGAGCAAACACAGGGGGAGGGGATAGGGTGCAGTGGAAAAGCTCTGGCTTGAGCTCCCGAAACATATGGGGGGCCCTCACTGTATATCGACGCTGGATTGCTCGAGATACCGTCCCCATCTGGGCGCAGACTCGTCTTCGGCAGGAAGGCCCAGAATTGCAGAAGTTCGCTCTCGTTGTCGACAATGTCTCTCCATTCCTCATCGAATTCCGCCTGCACCTTAGCCATGTGGTCAGTCTGGGCAGCTAGCTTCCCCTTTTCCTTTGGCAGTTGCTGCTTGTCCAAAGCGGTTTTCTAGGAGCGCTTGCAGATGCGGACTGCCAAGTTTTTTCCAACCATCCTGTGGTGTTGGGTCCTCGTTTTGAAGAGACGGTCCCCGCGTTCCTCTCCTTCTCCTCTCCTCCTCCTCCCCCTCCTCCTCTCCACTGCCCGCATGCGTCCCCCACACTCACGTCGGCACACCCAGCACAGCCTTTCGTGGCCCCATAGGGAGCCCCACCGAAACCCCCACTGGGACCGCCCGCGTGCGTCCCCCACACCCAGTTTGGCATTTTCCCCCACCCAGCACAGCGCTCCGTGGCCCCTTAGGGAACTTCACCGAAGCCCCCAGTGGGACCTCCCGCATGCGCCCCCCCACACACACACACACACCCAATTTGGCATTTTCACCCACCCAGTACAGCGTTTCGTGGCCCCGTAGGGACGTCCACCGAAACCCCCAGTGGGACCGCCCGCGTGCGTCCCCCACCCAATTCGGCCTTTTCACTCACCCAGGTTTCGTGGCCCCATAGGGAGCTCCACCGAAGCACCCAGTGGGACCGCCTGCATGCGCCTCCCACACCCAATTTGGCCTTTTCTCCTATCCAGTACAACGTTTCGTGGCCCCATAGGGAGCCCCACCGAAGCTCCCAGTGGGACCGCCCGCTTGCGTCCCCCACACCTAGTTTGGCACTTTCACACACACACACACACCACACCACACCACACCACACCACACCACACCACACCACACCACACCACACCACACCACACCACACCACACCACACCACACCACACCACACACACAACACAACACAACACACCACACAACACACCACACCACACCACACCACACCACACCACACCACACCACAACACAACACAACACAACACAACACAACACAACACAACACAACACAACACAACACAACACAACACAACACAACACAACACACACACACAAACACACACACACACACAAAAACACACACAGCACAGCGTTTCGTGGCCTCATAGGGAGCTCCACCGAAGCCCCCAGTGGGACTGCATGCATGCGCCCCCCACGCCCAATTTGGCATTTTCGCTCACCCAATACAGCGCTTCGTGACCACATAGGAACTCCACCGAAACACCCAGTTGGACCGCCCACATGCGTTCCCCACATCCAACTTGGCATTTTCACCCACCCAGTACAGCGCTTCGTGGCCCAATAGGGAGCCCAACCGAAGCCAACAGTGGGACCGCCCGGATGCGCCCCCCACACCCAACTTGGCATTATCACCCGCCCAGCACAGCGCTTCGTAGCCCCATAGGGAGCTCCACCGAAGCCCCCAGTTGGACCGCCCGCACGCGTCCCCCACACCCGATTTGGCATTTGCACCCACCCATGACAGCGCTTCGTGACCCCATAGGGAGCTCCACCGAAACCCCTACTGGGACAGCCCACATGCGTCCCCCACATCCAATTTGGCATTTCCACCCGCCCAGTACAGCGCTTCGTGGCCCAATACGGAGCCCCACCGAAACCCCCAGTGGGACCGCCCGCATGCGCCCCCCACACCCAACTTGGCATTGTCACCCACCCAGTACACCGCTTCGTGGCCCCATAGGGAGCCCCACCGAAGCCCCCAGTGGGACCGTCCGCATGCGTCCCCCGCACCCGATTCGGTCTTGTCACCCACCCAGTACAGCGCTCCGTGGCCCCATCGGGAGCTCCTCCAAAGCCCCCAATCGGACCGCCCGCATGCGTCCACAATGCCCAATTTGGAATTCTCACCCGCCCAGTATAGCGCTTCGTGGCCCCATAGAGGGACCGCCCGCATGCGTCCCCCACAGGGAGCTCCACCGAAGCCCCCAGTGGGACCGCCCGCATGCGTCCCCCACACCCAATTTGGCATTTTCACCGGCACAGTACAGCGCTTCGTGGCCCAATAGGGAGCCCCACCGAAGCCCCCAGTGGGACCGCCCGCACGCGTCCCCCACACCCAACTTGGCATTATCACCCACCCAATACACCGCTTCGTGGCCCCATAGGGAGCCCCACCGAAGCCCCCAGTGGGACCGTCCGCATGCGTCCCCCGCACCCGATTTGGCCTTGTCACCCACCAAGTACAGCGCTCCGTGGCCCAATAGGGAGCCCCACCGAAGCCCCCGTGGGACCGCCCGCATGCGTCCCCACACCCAGTTTGGCATTTTCACACACCCTTTACAACGCTTCGCGGCCCCATGGGGAGCTCCACCGAAGCCCCCAATGGGACCGCCCGCGTGCTTCCCACACGCCTAATTTGGTATTTTCACCCACCCACTGCAGCGTTTCGTGGCCTCATAGGGAGCTTCACCGAAGGCCCCAGTGCTACCGCCCGCATGCGTTCCCCCCCGGCCGGGCCCAGCGCAGCGCTTCTCGGCCCCATAGGGAGCTTCACCGACGAAGATATTCACAATTGCGGTACCCACAACTTCATATGGTTGGGTCCTTCGCCAGGGTAATTTTCCTGGAGCTTGACGTCGCGCAGTTGGGCCCGGTCTTCGTCGAACTGGGCCACTCGTGTGGCAATATTCGGGCCGTTCAGGCTGCAAGATAGTTCCAAACTTGTCATTTCGTGTCTCCAGGTGCCGTCCAGCAGAGGCCCAAGACGGCCCAGATGCCCCGAGTCGAGCCTGGGATTCCACAAAGAGTCATCCAAGGCTTTTATATCGCCCGAATATCGTGTAAGACTACCCAAGGGTGCGGCCTCCTGGAAGCCCCAAGATATCTCAGGCCCATGGACGGCCCAGCATCCCCCAGGGGAAAAAAAGACCACGGGGGTTCCAAAATATTCACAAGAGTGATTCACCTCGGAGTTCGGCGGCAAAAGGCGCAGCCCTTCTGAAATATCTCGCCGAGGCTAGCTGGGCGCCAGCTCCTCCCATACCCAGAACTGGGCAACTGCTGTGGTTTTTGGAGGGAGCCGCTACGCCGTGTCTGGAAAAAACACAACCGAGACTGAATTGCTGATGTAAGACCGTGGGCACGGCTCCCGAGTATCAGACTCCATGCAGAGACAGAACAGCGGCCCAACCCCTTGCATCGTGGACGAGAACCCATGTACCGTCGCTCCCGCCAGTAAAGAATGTGTGTGTGATCAACAGCTCGCTCTCGACTCGTCGGATCAATTATCATGTCTGCTGTCCGCCAGATCATTCTCGCGAATACCCGCGGGAGGCGCTCGCATTCCAGCAGCCGGTGGTTGCTTTCTGATTGACAGGTTGTCGTGTCCCGGTGGCGCAGCAAAACCACCTCCGCCACCGCCAGGGACAGGGCTTCCCAACGGCCCAACCGACGGGACGGGACTCCAAAGCGCTCGGTTGATCTCGCCTCCTTGGTCCCCGGATGATCGAGGCGGACGAGAGGGGGGCGGAGCTGGCTTCTCTAGCGCCTCCTGGCGCGCCAGGAGGTGCCGACGACGTGTCGAGGGGAGGTCCCCGCGGCGCGGCGGGGCCGAAACCAACTGCGCAACAAATTTCGCCGCTCACCCCACCTTTGCCAAGTCAAGTCCGGTCGAGGGGCCTGGAGGCCGCTCGCTCCGCAAGCGGAGACGGAGGGCGTGAAACAATACGGCAAGAAAACGCGCATGCAAGCTCCACACTCCACACTGTGCGTCAGACCCGAGAAGCCCCCCCCCTTTGCCACTCCACACTCTGCGTCCGACCCGGGAAGCCCCCGGATCCCTCCAGAGGCCTCTGGCGGCCCAGCTAGCCAGCAAAGCCGTCCAAACAGGTCCGGGCCTCGGTGCCTCGAGCACATGCACCGACTCATGGCCCAGCATGGGCCTGGCCAGGATCGGCGAGTGCGCCCACAGTGGGGACGGATTGCAGAGGACACCCAAGAGAACACCACTTTCGCCCGAGACCAACCCGTGCCCCACACACTCGAAGGGGACATGACACGCGAAAGAACGGACACGAGGAAAACTTGGACGCTGCAGGGTCGGGCTACGAGCCAGACCCTGCTGTAATTTTCGTCGCCCGATCTCCGTCCTTCCACGAGGCCCTTTGGGCAGTAGCGAAAGCCCTGTTGGGGCATCAATTAGGCCTAGATGCGCGAGGGGCGCCTGAGGAAGAATTGCGGGAATACCTAATAAGCTTGACACACCTCTGACGAAGACAAATTGGCCCTATCCCAAACTGTATTCTTGTATGATCTTATCGTAGGGCCAACATCCGCTCAATCGGTCCCAGATCCCAGGTCAGTGGTTGTCGATCCTTGGGCCCGTAACAGGCGTCCAGGGGCCGAGAATGGCGAAAACCCTCCGTCGAACCTCAAACACCGCGACCCGCCGACGACGATGCCGTCCTTCCACTTGCCGTCGTAGGACTTCCACTTGCCACTGACCCACAGCCTTGGCTGGCGCGCCAGCGGGCGCCGCTGGGCCAGGGGCATCTTGCTCTCACTGGGCCGCTGGGCAAAGAGGAGACGATCACTCGTAACGCGTAGCTGCAGGGGGAGGAAAAGGAGGACGAGGAGAAGGAGGAGGTCGAAGAGGAGGCAGAAAGGTAAAAGGGTAAAGGCGCTTAGGGGAGATGTCCGAAGAACAACAGCGGCGGCTGCAACAGTGGGAGCTAGCACTGTTCCCTGCGACGTGACCGGGATAAGTCTTTATACCCCCCCAAGAGTTGGAAACGGCTTATCTTGTGGTGACCTTATTATGGACTGGGGTCCCACCAATAATGGAAAATAACAATTTCTCCGCGGCACCCGCAGCTCAAAAACGACGACGACGACTACGACGACGACTACGGATACGACTGCGATTACGGCTTCGACCACGATGCGACTAGGGCGACGTCTACGGCTACAACTGCAACTACGACTTCTACAAATACAACTACGATTACTACCATCAGTACTGCTACTACTACTACTACTACTACTACTACCACTACTACTACTACTACTACTACTACTACTACTACTACTACTACTACTACTACTACTACCACTACGACTACGACTACAGCTACTACTACTACTACTACTGCTACTACTACTCCTACTACTACTACTACTACTACTACTACTACGGCTACTACTACTACTACTACTACTGCTGCTGCTACTACTAATACTCTACTATTACGACGACGACTACTACTACTACTACTACTACTACTAATAATAATACTACTCCTCCTCCTCCTCCTCCTACTACTACTACTACTACTACTACGACTACTACCAGAACTACGACTACTACTACTACAACTACTACTACTACTACTACTACTACTATGACTACTGCTATTGCTATTGCTACTACTACGACTGCTAAAACTACTCCTACTCCTACTCCTACTCCTACTCCTACTCCTACTACTACTACTACTACTACGATTACTACTACGATTACTACTACGACTACTACTACTACTACTACTACTACTACTACTACGTCTACTACTACTACTACGACTACTACTACTACTACTACTACTACTGCACTACTACTACTACTACTTACTACTACTACTACTGCTACTACAACAACCATACTACTACCACTACGAACTACGACTACTACTACTACGACTACTACTGCTACTACTACTACTACTACTACTGCTGCTGCTACTACTACTACTACTACTACTACTACGACTACTACGACTACTACGACTACTACGACTACTACTACTACTACTACTACTACTACTACTACTACTACTACTACTACTACTACTACTACTACTACTACTACTACTACTACTACTACTACTACTACTACTACTACTACTACTACTACTACTACTACTACTACTACTACTACTACTACTACTACGACTACTACTACTACTACTACTACTACTACTACTACTACTACTACTACTACTACTACTACTACTACTACTACTACTAGTACTACTACTACTACTACTGCTACTACTACTACTACTACTGCTACTACTGCTACGCAGCTGCTGCTACGATGACAACGGCTACCACGGCTACTATTACTACTAAAACCATCGCGCGCGCTGCGGACGCGCTCAAGCTCTAGGTAGGCTTGATCGGCTAACTCATGCCATCTCATGTTGGTCGCGTATTGCGTTCAGGGGCTCTTTTGGAGGCCATGCGCAAGCCTCGGGCTCGTAAGGGGAAACGCGGAAACGCAGAAACCATGAAGTTCGTTTAGTATTCAACGATTTGGGCCCATCAACGGCTTCCTGGGTTCTTTTTTGAGAGGTAAGGGGGGTCTGAAGTGTGGTCTGTTGTGCAAGAGTAGAATGGTGGCCAAACTTGAAAATCACCCTGTGACGTACGCAACCCTTTCTACACATGTGGCGATTATACTCAGGACCACTCAATGCTGACTGACATCCTGAAGGACCTGCAGTGCACAAGAAGAGCAACTATGATTTCAGAAGGGCGCAGCAAGATGAGGAACGGCACGTATACAACATGGAAACACAAGGGCGTTGAAAGAATCGCGTATGACGTACTTCCGAATGATCCACGTGTGACGTCCCTCCGCTGGGCCTCCCAGGAGCCCACGAAAGTGGCGACAATTGCGCAGATCGCAAGCCCCCCAGGGGGCGGCGAGGTCCCGAGGTGATCCGCGTGGGACCCACCTCCCGTGGGCCTCCCAGGAGCCCACGAAAGCGGCAACCGTTTCGAACATCGCAGGCTCCCCAGGGGCGGCGAGGTCCCGAGGTGATCCGCGTGCTGAGATGTCCACAACTAAGTTCTGGTAGTTATGTTGAAATTGTGGAAGTTAGACTGAAGTTGTGGAAGGTAGCTGGTCATCTGGTTTGCTTGTTTTTTGAAAATTATCTCCCCCTATCGTAAACCAATATATCCCCTAACTCCCCTTATCTTCAACCACTCGAATTCCTTGTTTTGCACAACTTACAAAACAACGCGCTGCGAATACAGATTTTATGTTTTGTTGTCAGCCACGTTGTTCTATGGCGTTGTGTTATGTCTGCCCCCAACGCGTTTTTTGTTGTTTGTTAGCCCAGCGCTTAGCTCATTGAGCCCCACTTTGAAGTCAACCATGCGCTTCGAGCCCCCTTCGTCTCCTCCTCTTTCTCCTCCTTCTCCTCCTTCGCCTTCTCCTCCTTCCAGCGTGCCAAGCTCCGTATCCTCCATCTCCTCTTTTTCCTCCTCCTCCCCCTCCTCATCCTGCGTCTCCTCCTCCTCCTCCTCCTCCTGGAGCCTGGAGCGTGAAGGTCTGTATTTCCTCCAGAATGACGAGGAGGAGGAGGAGCTCCCCCTCCCACCCCTCCTCCTCCTCCTCCTCCGCCCCCTCCTCCCCCTCCTCCCCCTCCTCCTCCGCCTCCTCCTCCTCCTCCTCCTCCTCCTCCTCCTCCTCCTCCTCCTACGCCCCCCCTCATTCCCCAATGCGCCCTTAACGCCCCCCATTATCTTGCCGATCCTCCTCCTCCTGTTCCCTCCTCCCACCTCCTCCCCCCCCCTTCTCCGTAGCCAGTTTGGCTCAAGATGCTTTGTTCCGCAGGGGAACGCGTGGATCCGGCTAGTCCGCGGCCAGTGCCAGGGCGCTTCTGCCCGACAATTGTGTTCCATATCTGGGCGAGGGGTAGGCTGTGCGCTGCCCGCCCGCTCGCCATGGCCAATGATGCGTCCCAGCCAAAGGGGCGTCAAGATTGGCGTTGTCGTGCTTGTGTCAATCCTCGCACGGGCCTGCCTTTGGTCACGTGGGGCAGTCAGCTCAAGTGTCACGGATGCAGGCTGCACAAGTCCGCCGTCTATGGGAGCCATGCCGTCGTTGCTGCCGAGCCGTCGTCTCGTCCGCCGCGGCCAAGTGGGCTCAAAGGGGGCGGCGGTGGCAAGAGGGCGGGCGGCACCTCCGATGTTGTCCCGCGCTCCGAGCTCTCGCAGATGGCCAAGGCGCTGCAGGAGGCCAAGGCGGAGCTCGCGCAGCTGCGCAAAGCCAAGGCTTCGGCGCGGGGCGGGCGGGACGAGGGGCCCATGCAGGCCGAGCCAGAGGGGGCGCCCGGCTCCGACGCGGGAGCCAAGCTGGCGGCTGAGGTCAAGGAGCTGGAGGCGAACTTGCTGGCGGCCAAGGGCGACATCGGCAGCTGGGCGGTGGAGCAGCAGCGGGTTCTGGAGGCGAAGCTGGCGGAGACGCGCAAGAAGCTGCTTGGCACCAAGCCGCTCCACGCGCAGGTCCACGCCCTTGCCAATCGCGACAAGTCGGGCTCTGCGAAGATCGCCAAGGCTAGCGTCGCGCAGCAGGCGGCGATCGAGCAGGTCACCAAGGCCAACGCTAAGAAGGTCGAGGCCGACGAGCTGGTCGAGAGCCTGCAGAAGCAGCAGCTGGAGGGCGAGGGCCGACTGCAGGCATCGCTTGGACGTGCTCCTGAGCCTGCTGACGGTGATGGTGCTTCTCTCCCTTGTCTGGGGGTCAAGATGGAGGAGCTGGAGCAGCTCGTCACCGAGCTCGCCCAGGGCTCGCAGCTCAACACTGAGGCGCAGAAGAGGCTCGCGGAGGGCATCGGGGGCCAGATCAACGAGCTCATCGCCTCCAAAAGGCCACGTCTCCAAGGGGCTGAAGCGGGTGCTGCAGATGATGCGGTCTCTGAGGCAGCCGCTCCTGCCGCCCATTGGGATCCCGATTCTGTCGACTTCCCTGTGCTGCAGAAGACCATGGAGGGCCTCGGTGCATACGCCGCGGAGGCAGAGTTGCGCGAGCGGGCCAGGAGGTTGGCGCAGGGCGGGCACAAGCCGTTCTCACTCCACTGCTTCCTGGGTCGTGCTGGTTATCTGTTGCTTGTGCAAAACCATGGCGGGAAGTAATATTATGACTACTAATATCACGTCCTGGGGCTCAGCGGCTGCTTGTCTGGAGGCCATGCCCCCCCCCCCCCCCCCCCCAAAGACAATGGTCATCGCCATGCAGGAGCATCGCATCCAGGACGTTGATAAGTTGGCGGGCTTCCAGGGCGAGGTCGCAGACTTTGGATTTTCTGGCATATGGGCGCCTGCTGTGCTTAGTGGTACGCCCGAAGCAGGGACCTCGGCGGGGGTGGCAATTTTGGCGAGGACGTCGATCACCATAACCCAGCCGCCCTTCACCAAGGACCCAATTCTCTATCCAGGGCGCCTCGTTGCGGCACATGCCCACTGGGGCGTGCGAGGAGGCTTGGCCACTCATTCGTTCTATCTAATTGGTCGATTCAGTAGGTCTCGACGATCAGAACAAGCGCATTCTGTGGACTTTGGCCAGCTACTTGGCGAAGTTGGAGGCTGCGCAGATTGATTGCATTGTTTGTGGAGGTTTCAACATGTCACAGGAGAAGCTGGAGGACTCCAGCCTCGCCAGCATCGAGGCGCTCTTTGCTGTGCCTCGAGCTACGACGCGTCGACCCTCGCAGGTTGAGG